GAATGAAAAGGATGCGCGAGGGTCGCACAAAAAGCCAGGGGAACTCCTGATCACCCTCTCGCTCCGTGTAGAGGCTCGGGGGCTCTTCCTGCAACCTTGCCGAGACCCAGCGACCTAGGCTCGCACTCGAGGGCTCGGCAAACAACCCCTCCTTCCGAACGAAAAGGATGCACGAGGGTCACACAAAAAGCCAGGGGAACTCCTGATCACCCTCTCGCTCCGTGTAGAGGCTCGGGGGCTCTTCCTGCAACCTTGCCGAGACCCAGCGACCCAGGCTCGCACTCGAGGGCTCGGCAAACAACCCCTCCTTCCGAACAAAAAGGATGCGTGAGGGTCGCACAAAAAGCCAGGGGAACTCCTGATCGCCCTCTCGCTCCGTGTAGAGGCTCGAGGGCTCTTCCTGCAACCTTGCCGAGACCCAGCAACCCAGGCTCGTACCCAGGGACTCGGCAAACAACCCCTCCTTCTGAATGAAAAGGATGCGCGAGGGTAGCATAAAAAGTCAGGGGAACTCCTGACCGCCCTCTAGCTCCGTGTGGAGGCTCGGGGGCTCTTCCTACACCCGGGACGAAAACAAGCAACCCAAGCTCGCATTTGGAGGCTCGGAAAAACGCGATAAAGGGCATCGAGCCCGTTACGGTCTAGGGGTTCGAAGGCTGGGCCCCCCAAAGGTTTCGACAGCCACCCCAGGACAAATAGAGTCAGGGATGACTGTGGGCAAGCCCGTACATGGCCAAGGCCCAAGCAAGCAAATGCTTGGGATGCCCTAAGTCATGTCCGAGACCAGCAGGGAGGTCTCTGAATGGGATTCCACCGTAGGGAGGCATCGTGCCCCCGGGGCCCAACGAATGGCCCTGGGACCCACTAGAGAAGCCCTCTGGTACTTTTGGAGTGCGTCTTTGGACTGCTAGCCGACCCCTATCGAATGGGGCACGGGCCTCCACTCAGACTTACCCGATAACAGCTCACCGGAGGTGCCACTGCTCGCGCCCACCGAGGGTAGCCTGGCATCCTCCACCTCTCCTTCTAAACGAAAAGGATGCGCGAGGGTCGCACAAAAAAGATAGAGAAACTCCTGATCGCCCTCTCGCTCCGTGTAGAGGCTCGGGGGCTCTTCCTGCAAACCAAGCCATGACCCAGCAACCCGAACTCGCACTCAGGGGCTCGGCAAACGCGATAAAACTACTCACTCAAAACAGGGAAAAAGCCCCTGGAGGAGTAAATCCACTCCTCCAGGCCTCGGGTTACTACACACGGCCGGGTGCTTCATTGCACACCCACCGGAACCACGAGTACAAAACGCAAATCCCGACGAGAGCTGCCACCTACGGCCTTCTAAGCCAAGTCTCGACAAAACCTCAGGGAGAGTGCTCGCACTCCCCCCAAGGCTCGGGGGCTACTGTCGGATACCAGAAAAAGGGGTACCCTAAGCGAGAACCGAAAAAATTGCTTAGACCTTGCAAATATCAAAGCCAAAGGACAACCATGAGGTCTTGGCCGATTCTTCGATTCGCCCGAGGCCAGCGCTGCAAAAGCCTCGGACGAAAAACCAACTGTCCACCTCGCTGAGGCCCCCTTGCCCGAGGCCCTACCCCATAAGGCCTCGGACGGGTTATCGATTCTCCGACTCGCTCGAGGCCGGCTCGGTAACAACCTCGTCGCCTCCTTCTCGATCGACTTCTCTGACAAAACGTCACGTCCAATTAACGCGTCCAACCACTCCCGCATAGCAACGTTACCACGTCAAGCGCAAAGATAGCGGAGTGGCCGACGGACGGGAGATGTGGATCGGGCAGGGGTTACCGCCATCGTGCTCGACATCGCACTCCACAATCGACGTCCGTCTTGCGATCAGTGCTACCTAACTCCCGCTCCAGGAACAACGCGGTGTGGGGAGTCAAATCCAGGTCACTATAGCCTCGGAATCAGTGTATAGGACCAACTGCTCCCTCCAAGCCTCGGCAATCCACTTCAGGGTCTCGGCAACCTCGGGATTCGCCGCCGAGCCTCCCACGATGGCTCGGCCTCGGCACCAACTGAGCCTCGGCTTTTTACACTGTCAACGCACAGCGACTGGCACGTCGTCACCCATGCCCTGCACCAAGCTATCACTGGAGCTCCCACGTCGCACAAGATCAGGTGTGATCAGCGCGTTGCTCCAGTGCATCAAGGACAAGACCGCTCCGTTGACCATGCCGCCACAGTAGTAAGCTACAGGGCTCAAACACGCCACCTCCGCTCACAAGACGCCGCATAGCAAACACATGTATCACCCCTGTCCCCCCTTCGACTATAAAAGGAGAGACCGGGGCTGTTTCTAGACAGAGGAAGACAGACGAAATCACGCATAGGCTCACGTAGATTCAGACACACACTCCCCCGCTGTCTGAGAGCAACGTCTCAAGCAGCCTACACCGCTCTACGCAGAGACCCGAGACTAGATCCTTCTCTCGCTCAGCTTGTAACCCCCTACTACAAGCACTTCGGTGCAAGGAATACAAGATCGATCTCTCAGACTGGACGTAGGGCACCAATTGCCTGTACCAGTATAAACCTTGTATCTCTTTGCATCACCATCCGGGGTTAGGGGCACACAGTTCAAATTCACTAGTTGGTTGATGACCCCTTAGTCCAAAACACCGACAATTTGCCTGCACAACATCATGTTATTTGCTCTTTTTTCCATATGTGCTTTGTCTATTTTTTTCTTCTTTTCATCACTTGCATTTGTTTTATTCTTATTTGCCTGCCCAACATCATGTTATTTGTTATTTTTTCCTTTTTTTAATCATCACTCGCATTTGGTCTATTATTATTTGCCTGCACAACGTCCCAATTCTTTTCTTTTTTAAGGAAATATCTAATACATTTGGTCTATTCTTAGATGCATAAAAGCAATGCGTAATATTTCCCTGAACGACACTTAGTTCGTGGTAATGGACATTATTTTGATTTTTGGAAGAAGACATCTCTATTCTTACCATGTAAAAGCAATGAGTTATGAGATTTAGGTAGTCACTATTACAATGAGACTACAAAGCCAGCTAGGGGACTATTAAGTATTAACCAATCTATCTATCATCTTAAATTATAAATAGCTTCCAAAGAAGAACTTAAATTGATACATTTTATGATAATTTAATAACTTAGATTAAACCAAAGAATTAATGGTAAATATAATTAATAAATAGTAAGATCTAGAAAAGTATGAGATTACAAAAGAAGAAATATACATCTGAATTTTCTAATGTTCTAGCAGTTTATGCTAAACCAAATCAATGATCGAAAGGCTCGGGTGAAACCGCGTAGTTCATACCTACAGTTAATAAATAATAAATTTGAAATAGGAGTAACAACTTAATGAAAAATAACACCTAGATAAAAGAGTACATGTAAAACAAAATAAATAAATGCAAATTGAATACAAACTATGAAAGTTTGATCTCTCCAAATGAATAGTAAAAAATGAAATAAACACTCCATATAAATTATAATTAGTAAATAGCTAAGTTCAAATTTTAAATTATAGAAAAATGGTAATTTGATTCCATTAGAATATGTAAATAAAAATTTAGTGTATTACAAGTTAAAGAGAATAGCATATGCTCTCAAGAGATAAAGACTACAACATTTATCATATAGATCTAGATGGCAATGTTGTAGATGTGTCCAAAGATGTTATTACAGATAATAAATAAAGAGATAGTGCTGGTAAACTCTTTCTCGTTCTTATTAAGCGGAGGGGCTGTAGCCCGGTTGGTAGCATCCCATTGGTGAGAAGTCTCAGGTTAGGAGTTCGACTCCCCACCTCCCCGTGGTAAAAATTCCTCTTGCTTGTCCCACGCTAAAGCGGAGGGGCTGTAGCCCGGTTGGTAGCATCCCATTGGTGAGAAGTCTTAGGTTGGGAGTTCGACTCCCCACCTTCCCATGGTAAAAATTCCTCTTGCTTGTCCCACGCTAAAGCAGAGGTCTAGGATCGGGCCAGTCTTACGCGAGCTACGGTATCGCTGTGTATAGGTGGGACAAGGAGTTCGGGTGTTTTCTAGGTTTTTATGAGAAGATCATCTTCTATCTTAGGCTACTTTGGGAACTGAAACCCTATTGGAAAAAAGGGTGGAAAATCTATGGAATATTATTTGAATAACTCATTTAGTTTTTCCTAGAGTGTTTTTTATCCTTAGTTGTGCCTCCCATTGCTTCTAAATTAGCCCTTAAGCAGAATGCCTAGGAATTGTTTACCCCGCGGATCCGAGTTTATTTTCATCTATAAAAGAATATAAGTTCGAGGGGTCACGTCGCGGGTACTGTTCATCCGAAGCGCTACCCTCACGGATCACTGTAGACGAACAGTAACGGATCACGATGAATAGTATCCGACCCGCTAAGGAACAGTACCAACCTTTTTCGGGTTTTTTTGCGTTCACTGTTGCCCGCGCGAAGCGCAGGTTTACCTGCTAGTTCTTATTAAGGGCTTGTTCGTTTAGCCCTCATTTCACCTGGATTCATTATAGGTGATTAAATATAGTACTCAATCCATCTTAAATTGTAAGACGTTTGACTTTTTTTACATCAAGTTTGACCACTCGTTTTATTCAAAAAATTGTGTAAAATATTACTTTTTTCATCGTGGTTTGGTTTATTAATAAAAATTCTTCAAGAATGATTTAAATATGACTATATTTGCACAAATTTTTTGAATAAGATGAGTGGTCAAATTTGGGACAAAAAAAGTCAAACGTCTTATAATTTGGGACGGAGAGAGTATAAATTAGCACAACATCCTGGTTGAAAATCATTCCAGGCTCCATTCCGTATGAACCGAACACGCCCTAATTGATTATTAGTTGGAATACCACAGCTCATTATTAATTGGAATAGCATAATCGGTTAACCACATAGGGACCCAGTGCTTGCGTGTCTATTTCCACTCCGGATCCGAACTTCCGAAGTCCGGACGCCGTCCCAGTGTCCCACCCACCGGCCTCCACGCAGCCACGGGCATGTGGGCCCTCAACCTGAAGGCCGGTGGGCCTTGCCTCACGCCGAGGCATCCCCAGCCGGCGGCGCGGTCCCCGCTGGCCGCCGGTATCGGCTCGCTGGCTGTGGGGCCGACGAGGTGGAGGCGGCAGCCGGCTCGGTGGCCGAGGTTGGCGGTGAGCGCGTCGGGGAGGAAGGGCAACAACGGCCGAGAGGACGGCGACGAGCCCAGGAAGAAGGCCTCCTCTTCTGGTAGGTCCTCTTGGCCGAGCTCCTGATGCTTTGTCGACCTGTGCGATTGGAGCAGGATCTAGGTGATTCGCATGTGGGAAGCGGTCAACGTTTGTAGATTGGGTGCGGATTGAAATTATTGGCGCTCGGTGATGAAATTGTTTATGTGGCCTTTGCATCGAGGTCCTGTTGGTTACTGTACGATTTGTGATGCAAAGGTGTACATGTCTCACTGGATTTCTAGTTGTTATGGTGATATGGAATTTGGGTATGTTTTGAGCTCGATGGTTATTCTTCAGGGTCCATTTGGAGTTTGAGACACTTTTGTGCACTTAATAATTGAAAACTACTTTACTGCAGTAGCTGTACTGATCTCGAATTCTGTATATAGAAATCGTGGGGTTCCCATTGCTGCATTTGAATTTTCCAGCCGCAGTCTTTCATTCATGTGTCAATTGCTTAATCAGAATTTTAAGGATTTGATATCTCTACATTTCAGTAGAAAGTACATCACCAAGTGCTACTTCTATGTAATGCATAATTATTAACTTTTGGCTATGCACTGTTGGCATTTTCCATATTTTGTCTACATCAGATATATACATTATTAAGATACTATATAGTTCTTTGTTGATGTGTCTTAAAATGTTGGGTACAAAGGCTGTATTTGAATTTCCCTGTAGTATGTGTTGCGCTGGTGAATTCTGACACCTCATTTCTGCATGCAGGAAAAGGTGATGCATCTACTCCCAGTGGAGATGCTGCAAATGGAACAAGCCAAAATCAGGACGAACCAAAATCAAGTGACACAATGTATATACCTAGCAACTTGTCATATTGGCGAGATGTGAGAGCAAGCTTCGTGATTCCAAAGTTGGTAAGACCAAACTTTCTGGTCTTTGCTATTTCATCTGTACTAGAAAGTTTGACAAAAGATTTTGACAGGCACCTTCGGTATAGCTTATTTAGTGATTATGTAGGAATGCCGTTAGAATCTAAAATGGAATTTCATAAAAGCTCGGGCTACCATTTTTCCTCAGTTACTTTCATTTGTTAGTGTCATAAAGGAAAGAAGACAATGGGTCAATTTCTGAAGATTGACTTGCACTTTATAATCCCCTAACATTGTACCTACATGTTACTACCTCTGAAACGAACACATGAGACTTTGGAAACTTAAGACTGTCCATGGTACAAAATGTATTTTATTCCACAGTCAGTTTTTCAACTTAATGAATAGAATTTTTCTCTGCTGTTCTGGTGTTTCCCTCCTTTTTGGAGAAAGTTGAAATTTGAGACTTGGCCATCCTCAACTCCTCAGTTACTTGAAACATTTTTTCTCACTATCATCTATGTGCTGATCCTGTACTTCTATTTAGGACTTCTTTATGGTTCTCGCTGCAAGTATTCACTATTCCACATTACGTTAAACCTCTTATCTAGCGTTGTATATAGATAGACAAAAATGTGAATTTCTTCACCTCAAACAACGTCATACTGCTAGACTGTCTCCATCATGTAGTGTAACAAGATCTTCAATACCCTGTTTCTAATACATCCCAATGTCTTATGCACATTTTTGTTGTCCCAATTACATTTGACCAATTTACAGATCAGATCCCTTTTTATTCTCCTTTAGCAAAGAGTAGCCTGTCTCTGCCTGAAGCTAATTGGTGTTTTTGTTAAGAAACTCTCATTGACCTGGTCCTAATTATTTTTCCCTAACTTGTTATTTATCATGCATCCAAACAAGGAGCAAACAGATGCAAATAGTCCACAACAGACAGCTCAGGATGGAGCAGTATATCATCTTCCCCGGAAGTGGGCTCATTCTATTCCTATGCCAGAGTCTGGATGTGTGTTGGTCGCCACTGAAGAGCTTGATGGCAATGGAACCTTTGAGAGGACTGTCATCCTTCTCCTAAGACTAGGTTCAAGAGATGCCTACGATGGCCCGTTCGGTATCATCCTGAACTGTCCACTGTACACTAAGATGAAGCATGTGAACCCATCCTTCGGCGAGCAAGCGACCCTTTTTGGTGATTGTTCCCTCTTGTTCGGAGGCCCTGTCGACATGAGTATATTCCTGATGAGGACAGCTGAGGGAAGACCGATGAAGGGGTTCGAAGAGGTGGTACCTGGCATCTGCTTTGGCTTCAGGACTGACCTGGAGAAGGCTGGTGGTCTGATGAAGAATGGCACGGTTAAGCCTGAAGACCTGAAGTTCTATGTTGGGTACTCTGCTTGGGAACATGACCAGCTGCTGAGTGAGATCGATGCAGGATATTGGGTGGTGACTTCCTGCAGCTCAGGCCTGATAACCGACGCGTTGACGATGGACCCCTCCTGCTTGTGGACCGAGATTTTGCAGCTGATGGGTGGCCAGTACTCAGAGCTGAGCCAAAAGCCGAAGCAAGATGGAATGTAAACTTTGTTCGTTTGCATCCCAGCCATTTGGGATGGTCTCCCTGTGGCCAATCTGTACATAATTTGAGTAATCCTCGGCTGCCTGTAGCCAGTGTGGTTGCTCTGCTCGATGTAATTGCATGTGGACTGCTTTGACTTGTTTTTACCTAGTGAAAGAACGATGCGATACTTGAGCATGGCAACGCCTGCCTGCCTACCTGCTGTGCCCAAAGCTGAAACCCTCTGTTCGCTTCTCTTATAATCTATACTTTTCATCTTTTTTTTCAGCCGAAACAGTGTTTTTCTCTCATAACAAATCAGCCGGAACAGTATTTTGGTTTGTTTTTTCAGCGAAGCGAACGGGGCACTTTGATATTATTATGTACAGTATGTATGATTCGGCTTGTGCATGGTCCAGAAACAGATGTTTCAGGCATGCAGCATGCTTAGTGGCAAGCAGCCAACTGATACAGTTCTGAGTACCGGTACGATATGATCCGAGCGACCGTGTGCTCACCATTCACCGAAAAGGGTTTGCCTTTGTTTGGTCAACCATGAAGGCACTTCGTTTGAGCCCATGACATGCTGACTTGCTGAGCGCGTAAGGCCGGGTGCTTGGGAGATCGGATGGCGACATCCGACATCGGCCGGAGTTCAGAAGGCACCCGGATGCGTTTTTGTGTTCGTGACCTGCGTGCCGGTATGCGCGTGCAAGTCTTTCTGTTATCTTCTCGCGTACTAGTACAGTACCCCTTCCGTTCTAAAATATAATTCGTTTGACTTTTTATTTTTACTTCAAATTTAAGTCATTCTTGAAGAAATTTTGTTAATAAAGAAAGCCACAACAAAAGAAATGATATTTAACACAAATTTTTGAATAAGACGAGTTGTCAAATTTGAGGTCAAAAAAGTTAAACGAACTATAATTTAGAACGGATTTAGTATCTATCTATAATCTGTTGACCAAACCTTGGTCAACCATCTTGTAAAAATAAAATTGACGTAGCACGGGGTTACTGCTGTGGGCAAGAAGACTGTTCAATTCAACGCTTCTTGATGACTGTTACTGCATCCTCTGTGTCACTGTGCTCCAAATAAGTCCACACCCAGGTTGATGCAGCAGGATACTGTGATGATACACCACGCAGTCAGGATTCCAATCGTCGACTTGCCTTCTCTAGAAACTGCAACGCAGCCTGCGGTCGTTTCACAGTCACGACCGAGTCGAGGACCAGAAGTCCAAAACTACGGCAGCCGAGTTGGCTTCACCTCACCTCACCTCACCGTCAGTACATCGCCAGGGACGGTAAACAAGTATGTCAAGGCTGCACCAGCCACCAGCCAAGTCAAAATTTACCGTCGTCAGTTGGGGTTAAATCCTTTTCCGCCTGCCAACGAACTGTTGCATTTGGTCTCGATGGGTTCGTTTCAGACTCCACCGTTGACAACACTGCATTTGCTGATTTGTATTTGCATTGCACGCCAGGCTCAGCAAAGAGCGAGCCACAACCATGACTGAAAGTATTGTTGGTTGATTTGTTGTGAGAGAAAAAAAACTATTCGTTGATTGAAAAGGTACAGCTTATAAGCTAAACAAATAGGACGATTGCTCGGTCTCTGCGGCTCTACCATTGGCAATGGCACTGTTCGTTAAAAAAGATGTTTTATTGCATCCGCTAATTTCAGTACTACCATCTTCTTCTTTTTTTGCGGGCAGTACTATCAATTTTTTGGTTATATTAGTTACATCAGAATCTCCATGTCATCCACGCTAATCTCCCCGGAGACAGCAGGTTGCTCCCTTCCCGCGCCCGTACTGTGAAGGTTAGCGTGCGCACGGCCGGTGTACGCGTCGCCAGCATCCTGATCGCGCGCCCGGGCGCTGACGCCACCGCCGTGCGCGCTGCCGATGATGCCAATGCCGGTGCGATGGGCGTTCGCCAGCGCGGGCGCGGGCGCGCTCTCCCGCGCCGCCACGAGCTGCGCGTCGGCGGCCATGCCGGCGTCGGACGCCACGCGCTGCACGGACCGCGGCGACAGCCGGCCCCCGGCTCCGGCGCCGGCGCCGTACGCCGCGGCCGCTCGCTCGGGGAAGTTGAGCCCCGCGACGTCGCCGGTGCCGCCGCGGAGGAAGTAGACGGCCGTGTCGTGGGCGACGGCGGCGGCCTCGGGCGTGGCGTACGAGCCGAGCCACAGGCGCTCCCGCGTGCCGGGCACCCGGATCTCCGACACCCACTTCCCCCACCGCCGCCGCCGCACGCCCTTGTAGCCGCGCCGCCGCTCCGCGTCCGCCTCGCCGACCGCCTCCGCGCGCCTCATCATGGCGCGCCCCGCGCGCGTGCTGTCCCGAAGCTCTTCGCTTCGGCCTCGAGCCTCCTAGCTAGGCGGCCCGCCCAGCCTCGTGGCTCCCGTCCTCCCTGCTGAGATGGCTCTCAGCTGACCTCTCTTGAATGAATGAAGGCTTCAAGTTCAAGCAAGGCTCGTGACTGGCGTTCGTCCTCGAGGAGATGGCAGTGGCACCGGCACGGGCTGACCTTGGCGGTGCATGGACTGCGCGCGTATTTATAGGTATGGGGATGGGACCATGGAGGTCAACCCCGGAGCAGAGTTGACCTCGCCCGATATGGTTTTGGTTTTGAGTTTTGACCTCGAATAAAAAAAACACACTAAAAAGAAGAGAAGCAGCTGGAGAGTGGACGAAGGCCGGCGCGGTGACATTTCTCATTTCTGGCGGTGGTGGGCGGTGTCCGGTATGCAATTGCATGGCAGGCAGGTCGGTAGAGGAGCAACGCCAACGCTGCAGACTGCAGTGGGGTCAAAACTTTCAGATGCCCGCCCGGCCGGCCCAATCAAACTGTGTGCCTCGCGGATCTAACGGTCCGTCGTCTCAACGTACGGACTCCTGCTTCCGCTCTCAGTCGTTTTTTCCGGCTTGTTTTTTGTCCTAGGATTTTCTGTGATGAACTTGGAAACAAGGGGAATTACCGTGCTGATTGTTGGCATCCAACAACACAGTACTTTCTTACAAGTTGTTTGGTTGATGGTTTCTGCGGCTGATAAGTCAGCTAAAGCTGATTTGTTGTGGGAGAAAAATAATATACTATAGCTGATAAGTTTAAGCGAACAGATACGTTGGAAGAAGCCTTGTGATATGGGCGGATGGAGAGTAGAGAATTATCGATGTTACTAGTGTTAAGTTCATAATTATTATTATATTTGCCTTCTCTTAGCAGCCTGTTCGGTTGGCTGGTTCGTTTCGTTGCTGGTTCGTGAAGAAATACTGTTGGCTGGTTTGTGTGAGAGAAAAATACTATTCCGTTTGAAAATTTACAATCGTTTACGACAAGCCACATCCAAACGAATAGGCTGTAGATCGTCAACAACAATTTAGATTTGGGTTTTAAAATCCATTGAGAGCATCAAAATGTCCCTGCTACGCCCTGCTATGCTAGTTTCTGTTTTCGTTTCGACGACTGCATCCTCTCAAAAGCGAACGATCCTTTGAGGGTTTGACCACCGTTATCTTGGTGCCCTGGCGATCCTTTGACCACCGTTATCTTGCTTGGTGCTGCAGCAATCTTCCAGACCGCCGAGAGTGCATCTTGGACCCCGTAACCGTCTGGTTTGCCGTGTGGGTGATCCGTGTCTCTTTCACTTTCAGTGACAACTGACAAAAGGGACGCAGCAAACGCACTACGACGGGCCCCAAAGGGCCACGTTCATTTCATTTAGGCAAGCGCCATTCACATGACCATACTGCATATCTGAAGCATGGCCTGATTGGCCATCACCAACTTTATTTCCGTGCCACAAACACGAAACGTGTGCAAATAAAACGAAACACCGTGCTGTGCATGGTCAGTTCTGAGCTATAGCTAGGTCCTCTGGGAAAGCCGGTCAATTTTCGTTTGTAAGAAGATACTCGACGGGACGACACCGTCCATTTCGGCTCCGGCCAGTCGTGCCTTCGCAAAGATGTACAGTGTATATATAAGTAGTTACTCCCTCGTGCAAACCACGTACATCACGTGCTACTCCCTCCTGGCACCGTGGCAGGCTGCTTAGCGGGCCGGGTTTAAAGAAGTTGGCCCGCTAATCCATCCTATATATATTAGAAAATTGGACTACCAAGCAATATGACATCCGGCGGCGGCGGCTTCAAAACTCGCTACCTGATTAGGTCCTGCGCCTGCGGCCTGCGATATTTTGATCCAGGTATGTTGAGGCAGTAGGGATGAAAATGGATCGGATACGAACAGATATCATTCATATTATATTTGTTTTTATATTTCTGTTTGGATTCGGATTTGGACACGGATAGCGTTCGGATACATATACGAATACGGATTGACTCGGTTACGGATACGAATAATGAGTATCGAATACGGTATGAATCGAATTCGGAGAAGGTCGGATACAAATATCTATTCGGATATTGAGTAAAAGCAGCATATATATATATATATATATATATATATATATATATATATATATATATATATATATATATCATACGTGCGCAAACCATTACACCACTCTATGAGTCCATAATCCATCTAAATTAAGCCGAAAGACTAAAGAGTAAAGCAACAAATAAGATAAAGATACAGATACATCATACATCAAACATCATATAAGCACCAATCTTCGCGACATGAGTAGAAATAGCCAAGCACATTGCTTCATGGGTCTCATGGAGTCATGGTCATGGATTCAAGATCTACAATCCTTATATAGGCCATTTTTTCATTTTGAGAAAGTTTGAACAAAATGTAGTTCAAATTTCACAAGTGTGTGACATAGTTTTAGAAAGTCTATATGAGATTCAAGAATTTATGACTAGTGTTTGATAAAACTTTCTCAAATGGAAAAATGAGCTATGTAACAATTGTATATCTTGCTGAGATGATCAAACTTGGTATTCAGAGTTTTTTCATCTGAGGTCATTTAGTGTCTCATTTGAGCAAGTTTGACCAAATCAAATTTGGTCAAATGAAAAAACAACACTTTGACTCTAGTATT